AAGCGCTTTGGGGTCCTTAGGGACTAGTAAAGCGCTATACAAATAAAGGCCATTTACCATTTTTTTATTCCTTTGTATTACTACAGATAGTAGTTACAGAGTAAAGACAATGTTAGTAGTAGTAATGGTTATGTAGTACAGTCATATAATAAATCCCGACAATTCCAGAATTTTCTTGCCATTTACACTTTCCAAAAAATAGATTTAAATTATTAATACTATGATATTTTTCTGTCTTAGGTATACCAGCATAAGATTGTGTGTGATAATATATGTTTTTCTCCCCCCAAAATTGGTGCAAAAACAAAAATATACACTCTTTCTACTCTATGAAACATTACTTAAGGATTAAAAATCTGTTGATGTTCCAATCTAAATTAAATAAAGCTGTATTGGATCATTTGCTGTTGCCAATTATTGTGAGGGAAATCTTGGGCCCAATCAAAACCATACTGTGAAGACTTAGAAATTCAACACCATGTAAGGGTTAATCCATGACCACATATTCTCAAGAAGGTGAGAAGATGACAAAACCCCTTTGTTTGAAGACCTATATAAACCAAAGGAAACAATGTGTGCCCATATACAGACAATTTTAGATGGAAATGGAGATTGCAGCTCTTGTAATTGGTTTGGTATTGCCTGTTTGTTTGTTTCACCTCAACTCAGCTGTTGCCTTTGCAGTGTGTCTAGATGGTATGAGACAAATGACTAGGCATATAGGAGCTCAAGATGGTACGACGGCATCCTCTCTGAACTGCAAGCTGCAGGGAAGCACTCGTCTACCTGCATTTTCAAAGGATGGGGACTTTGTTATTGGTGGTGATTTTTCCCTTCACGTCTACATGAACACAGTTTACAGTGACTACACCAGCATGCCTGAGCCTGTAAAATGCAAAGGAAGGTTAGTAAGTAAGAAGTTCAGTAATGGGAAGAAGAAGAAGTAAAAACATGTTGGACTGTATGAGGAGAGAAATGTTTTCATGTGTGTTATGATCTACGGAACTACATTAATTCAGTATAGTGTTAAAATATGTAAACAATGGTCTTTTATTCTTTATAAAAAAATGTTGTATTTTAAAAAACAAATTATACAATATGTTAAATAACAGTTTTATACAGGAAACAAAGGAAAGGAATTATATTTAAAAGGAAATGAAAAGACTTTAATTTGTTTAAATTATCCTGTTGTTGATTTTTTCTTTATTTTCATTTTTTTAACATTTAACTTAAACTAAATCTACAGTGTATATTCTAACAGTGACACAACTATTTGCAGTATTATCACCAGTGAACTGCAATCATCGCGTACAATGGTTTTTGCCATAGAAGAGATTAACAACAGCACAGAGCTGCTGCCCGGAATCAGGCTCGGGTATCAGATCTATGACTCATGTGCATCAGTGCCTGTAGCAGTGCATATGGCATTTCAGTTTCTAAATAGCTTCGACCCTGTGTTTTCCACGGATAACAATTGCTCACATTCTGGTATGGTGATGGCTGTTGTTGGTGGCTCGGGGTCTACGACATCCATCAGTTTGTCCCAAGTCATCAGGTCTTTTAACATTCCCCAGGTAAATGCCAATTTCTGTCAATTTTCGTATTTAAAATATGCTATGTGATATTTGTGTTTGCGGTATTTTCTGAGCTACACTGTTTTATTTCTTTTGGTTTAGGTGAGCCACTTTTCGACATGTGCATGCTTGTCTGACAAGCAGCAGTACCCAAGTTTTTTCAGAACAGTCCCCAGTGACCAGATTCAAGCTGAAGCACTAGCCAAGCTAGTGAAACACTTTGGCTGGACTTGGATAGGTGCTGTTCGGTCAGATTCGGATTATGGAAATAATGGCATGGCTTCATTTCTAAAAGCAGCACATAAAGAGGGGATCTGTGTGGAATACTCTGTATCTTTCTATCGGACAGACCCACAGAGCAGAATTCAGAGAGTGGCAGATGTTATCCGCAGGTTTCCTCATCAGAGATAATTATTGTGCATTGACTTGTTTAATTATTTGTAAAATAAATGTTTGATCATGTGAAGACATTTAAAAAACATTTTTCTAATGCATTACATTGTCTCTCCAGGTCTAAAGCTGTAGTTGTTGTGGCATTTGCATCTTTTGGAGACATGAAGATCCTGTTGAAGGAGCTCACATCACATGAGCCTTCCCCACCCCGCCAGTGGATAGGCAGTGAATCATGGGTAACCAACCCAGAATTAACGAGGTTCAGTTTCTGTGCTGGGGCCATTGGATTTGGGATTCCGAAGTCTATAATCCCAGGCCTCAGAGACTTCCTGCTGAAGCTGTCCCCCTCACAAGTGGCTTCTTCTCAAATACTTACTGAGTTCTGGGAGGATGCATTTAACTGCACACTGACCAAAAGTAAGACATTTTTCTTGGTTTAAATTATCTGATCAACTGCTGATGTCGGCTGTAGCTTCATTGGTTGACCTATTTTAATTGAAAAGTTATTAATCATGACCAAGTGTGAGGAGAAAATACAGGTGTAACTTGAAAAATTTGAATATCATGAAAAAGTTCATCTATTTCAGTAATTCAACTTAAAAGGTGAACGTAATATAAGATTAGACTTACTGCATGCAAAGTGAAAAATTTCACACCTTCATTTGTTTTAAGTTTGATTATTATGACTTACACCTTATGAAAACCCAAAATTCAAAAGCTCAGAAAATTAGGATATGGTGAAAAGGTTCAATATTGTAGGCTCAAAGTGTTAATGTCTAATCAGCTAATTAATTCAAAACAGCTGCAAATGGTTCCTGAGCCTTTATCTCTCAGTCTGGTTCAGTAGGAATCCCATTTATGGGGAAGACTGCTGACCTACAGTTGTGCAGAAAATCATCATCCACACCCTTCATAAGGAGGGGAAAGCCTCAAAAAGTCATTACAAAAGAACTTGAATGTTCCCAAAGAGCTGTATCAAAACACATTAATAGAAAGTTATGTGTAAGGGAAAAGCATGGAAGAAAATGGTGCACAAACAGCATGGATGACCACAGCCTGGAGAGGATAGTTAGGAAAAAGGCCATTCAAAAGTGTTAGTTAGTTAGTAAGAGTTAGTGCATCAAGAGCCTGGACATGGGCTTCAAATGTCGTATTCCTCTTGTCAAGCTGCTCCTGAACAACAGATGTCAGAAGCATCTTACCTGGGCTAAAGAAAAAAAAGAACTGGTCTGTTGCTCAGTGGTCCCAAGACCTCTTTTCTGACGAGAGTACATTTTGCATCTGAGGTTGTGCTGAGGCTTTTATCTTTACACTGTTCCTGCAGCAGGGCCTCAAGGCTGGTCCAAAACTCTTCTCGCTCTCCTCCTTGCAAGACACTTTAAATCCTTAAAGTGTGGCCAAGCACAGTAGCTATCTTGGGCCACAGATGTTTGAGGGTAGCTACACGTTGTGAAGGTGGTTTTAAATTTCACCATGTAGTTTGAGTCATCATCGAAGACCTCCATGGTGTGATGCAGGTGGCAGAAAACAGATAAACCCCTGAACATGAGACATATGTCTCACCTCCAAGAAGCTCAGTCACACACCTGTAGTAGACAGTTCAAGAAAGTAAATATTAATCTACACAATAACTGTCAAATATCCGGTCTTTAAGTGATGACGTGATGAATCCTGCTTCCAGGCCCAAACTACCCTGCTTTTGTGTTTTTAACATTTTAATGCTTTGTATCTAGTTCTATTTATTCTCAAAAAGCCCCTAAAAACAGTCAGTGATCACTGTCGCCCTCTCTCGGTTTTTATTAACGCTAAAGCTCAGTTTTTAAAACCTTACAATGCAACTACAGCCCAGCCCATGCAGCAGTATATTAATGACTAACCTCGGACTGTGGATGAATTATCTCAGTTGTTCTCTTGACTTAAGTTTGGTCCGTTTACAGCATCCTGCCATGCGACTGCATTTGTCTCTAACCATTGAGAATCCTCACGGCAACCTTTATCGAGTGGAAAGAAGTTAGCGTTTATCCTCCACCTTCACTGTTTATATTATGCTAACATAGCTGTGTCGCTAGCGATCACTTAGCTCATTATTATATATCAGTTATATATCAGCTAGCCAAACTAAAGTAACCCTACAAATGCCACTGCTGTTTACTTTTCTGTCTTCATTTATGTCAGAAGTGATAGCAGAGCTGTACATCTTAATTTGTTTCAGAAATCTCTCAGTCAGGACAGGCTATATTATATTTAGATGGAAGCTAGCGAGCTAACTCCTTGCTAACTTCTAACTCCGTTAAATTTAATAAATTCCGTTTTCATGGATGCCTGGATGTTTAACTTAATTGCTACACCTGGTAGAGCAGCCACACTGATCTTTTTATTACAGATGAAAGAATTTAGACAGTTTTTAGCTCTCGGTGATGCCGCAGTGATCATTTGGCTTATGGACATGCAGCGGAGTTTGGGCCCAGACAAGGCTAATAACGTCAGACTTAAAGAACGGATAGAGCTTTTTGAAGAAACAGTAACAAAAAGTTAAAAAATAGTTTGATTTACTTGCATGGCTCAAGGACAGTCGCCAGCTTTTGGAGTTTTACCAGCTCTGATGGAGTTAAAACGACTAGCTTGTGCTGTTGTTTGGCTGTAACCAAAGTCTTGTTTGCTCCTGGTGTAGTTCCTCCATATTAGCAGGGCTGTCCTTAAGGTGTCTAATTTTTCTTGCTTTTCAGTGTCATAAAGCTGTTGAATTTTACTTGAAATAGTCTTTTGGCAGAGCAGTTGGAAGTTGGATCACCTGACGCTAAGTGTAGTACATTTTCTAACCACCTATCTTTTACCACTGATAGTGGTTTACAGTCCAGAGCAATCAATTTTGCGAGAGAATTTGTAAGTTTGTCCAATGTTGACTTACTAATTTTGGTCCTTAAGTTAGTCATTTCATCAAGTTTGGGCTGCCATCACCTTCAGACTGCTAGCAACATGTTTTGCATTTAGATGGTAACATGAAGTGCTTCGGTGTTATGTGTTGAGACAACGCCAGTCTCTGCGATTCTTTTGGTCCTGGTAGTGATCACGTTTCCATGTTTTACACAATCCTTTTATTACCCATTATTCTTACAGATGCATCTGGAGATCAGCACACTGCATCCTATGCAGTCCTATTCTGAAGGGTGATCTAAAGAGTAACACAGCAGTCACAGTTATAACCTCTGGTCTCCTTCCCCCTACAGTAAACACGCCCACAATAGAAAAAAAAGTGGTACAGTTGCCAGAGGTGTTGACGCCCTGACCCCCATCTCCTTTTAAGGTAGTGTCCATTTGCCCTTTGTCTGCCCCTCACCCTCAGTAGCTTTTGCTTCCTGCCCTGGGGGTGGGTGTTGATTGTCCTCCTGCCCTGCACCTCAATTCTTTGTTCCCATTCCAGGCCTATTTCCTATTTTGTATACCCATTAACCGCCATAATGTAATATTACAAGAAATCCGAAACTATATTCCCTTTAACTCTGATGTATATTAAGGAATCTATTCAAACTCCTTTTTCACAGTTTGCACAAAACCACACTGTCATCAAGCCTTCAGTTGGGTAGTCTTTTGAAATTAAATTTGCCTTTCATCCATCCATTGCTAGGATCATTCCTAGCAATGCACTTTCTTCTGATTCTTTGTAGCTCTGATGTGTGCATCAGTGTAATCGATATACCAGGAAATTGTGCATTGACAAAAGTTAGCTTTTGCCTGGAATGCAAACTGCAATTAAATGTGTAATTTTTTTAGTACGTTGTTGTTTTTTTCAAATTAATTAATCGCAATTAACACGTTAATCAGAATCAGAATCAGAATACTTTATTCATCCCGAGGGAAATTAGGGTTACAGCAGGCAGCACGCTAATGGCGCATGCGCACTTACAAAGGAACCTTCTGACCAACTTTACACAAACATCACATT